AGAAAATAACTAGGTGCTGTAATGATTTATTTATCCTTCTGTGTGGAGTTCACATGTTCTCCCCATGTCAGAGGGGGTTTCCTCTGGGATCCCTAGTGTCCCAAGGTGTGAATGTGTGTGACTGTCGCTCTCCTGTTAACCTCACCCAAAGTCACCTTGGATCGTCTCAACAGGATAAGTGGCTCGGATGATAAATGGATTTCTCAGCAAAAACAACAAATTAAAGGTGATTATAACAAGAATTGAATAATAGTAATGTATTGCAGTGCATTTTGGGTGTCACGTGTTGGTCAGTCCTTAGCAATTCAGTGTGGCTGCCTGCTGTAACTTTGATAATGTTGACATGTTGCATTGTGTTGCTAGTACACACCTGACAGCAGTGAACAATAGAGGTAGCAGGTTAGCTGTGATTAATGAAAATGTATGTGTCGGTGGAACTTGAGTATTAGTGAAACTGTTACTCACAAGAGAGAGAAAGTTCGCCAAGCTACTTCCCTTTCTGATGGAAAAGCGGGAGCTCTCAGGAGACTGGGGTGGTTATGATGGATATTGTAATGACGTCCTGCAACAGTTGCCTTGCTATCACATTTATTGCATTGTCCTCTGATCAAGAAAATATTGTCTATGCTACCAAGACAAGCAATGAATAGACAAAGACAAGAAACAAAGTTAAATTTCATCACATCAATGCAGCCTATTTGGAGTCCACAGATGTCATATTATAACTTTGCAAAAGAGAAAAAAACATTAAACCAAAAATAGGCCGTTCAAAGTAAACACAAGATCACATTCTTATTTATGTGCAACTATGTGGGGGAGCATGCCTGTTATTCTTACCATTCCACCTATGCAAAATACATCTTGAAGAAAACCGGATGCACTGAAATAGCAGTCGTCTGTTAGGCCAATGCTTATAAAAATCTATGTTCAGCCCCTCCTCTTATTATAGAATTTCATTTTGTCTTCTTTTTGTCTCATCAATTCGGACCCCTTATGGGGAGTCATACAGGCTTTTCTCTGTTTTGGCCCCGATGACAGAATAAGTTACTGCACGTCCTCGGAAAATCTCCTTTTCGACAAAACCTCCATGTACAGTATTTGCACTGACTTAATAATAATAATAATACATTTAATTTGTACTTTATATTTAAGAAAAAGTGCTACATGATAAAACTGTTAAGTGCTAACAATTAAAACACACGGAGAGTTTGAAAACAAAAAACAAAACGAGTTCACTAAAAAGCTCTCCTAAAAAGGTGGGGTTTTAAGGCTGTCTTGCCAAACTAGCCTAGATCCTTCTGATTTGGTGGAACGCGGTCTTCAGTGTTGATGAAACATGGCCAGCCCGGAGAGAGTGGTTAATGACCTTTTGTGATGAGGGGACTTATGGCATGGAGGTTGGATTTTACCAGGGCTGTGGGGAAGGGGTCCAGGGCACAGGTGGATGGTTTCATCTTTTTGATGATGTCCTCAACTTCTCGCTGTGAGATGGCAAAAGAACAGCTGAGAGGTTGGAAAATCCCAGGCTGTGGGTCAGCAGTCGGGACAGGCAGTGTAGAGAAACTGGATAGCAGGGAGCGGATGGTGTCTACTTTTTTTCTGAAAAAAGTGATGAAATTGTTGCACCTCTCATCTGTGGCTTCTGAATGAGAGTGAGTTTGCGGTTTAAGGATGTCATTTATGGTAGAGAAAAGTTGCTTGGAGTTGCCAGGGCTGTTATTGGTAATGTTGGAATGGAACTGTGAACGTGCATCTCTCCAGGACTTATTGGCTTTGTCCACTTTGTCCAAAAATTGAGAAAATGACATTCTGTAAAATTCCTAATTTAGTCTACACCATTTATTCTGTTGCAGACTCAGATGTTGAAATGACCACGGGTGTATGTTGTATGTTGTAATCAATCAATGCACACCAGAATGCAGGTCTAGTGCATTTTATGTTGGAATACACATTTTTGGTTTGGGTTTATGAAAAAGGACACTAAGACAAGACCAGAGATACAACACATTTAATAGGATTAGTTCAGTCAGTGCAGTTCTAATTGAATTAATTGAATAAAATGATCATTTACTGTTTGAACTGAATATTCTATGAGTAACTATTCAACCATTGCAACTGGCTTGCAGTCTGTCACATAGAAGGGAGACGGACCGAATTGAAATCCACAAAAGATTTGAATTCACTCAAGTAGTTACAGAGTGGGAGTCTCCACTTAACAGAAAATAACATTTATTTTTTCCTGTATTCACTACATAGTAATGACATTTACATTTACCTTCCAAAATAATATAACATAATTGAAAAAAACGTAACAATGTAAAATAAAAGTAGCCAACATATGCGGCATATCCCTACTTACTACTTATATTTACTTATATTGATTAGTAAAATACTTCTGGATGACATAAATGTATCTTTCCAATGATTTTATTTTATACCTATACATAACTTAGACCAGGTGCAAGCACCGAAATCTCAACCCAGTGTTCACTGTTGGTTTAAGGAGGTGAAAGTTGTCCAAACATCCAATCCACGTCACATTTCAGCGTGACTCAGAGAATTCTAATATTGTGCAACATTTTAATTTTACAATCAGTTGAGAGGCAAAGTTACCACTGAAGACAGCTAGTGATCGTTTGATCAGCATGTGTGTGTGGGTTCTTTGACGCATTATTATCGCAATAACATGCTAGGGGGCGGGGCTGATAAGAGGGGTATCTTCACGTGTGTTAACCAATAAAAACATTTGGGGGCGAGCCTTAGGCTGCTCTTCCTCACAACTGAAGAAAGGTACCAAACTCTTTTATGGACATTTTCATTTTGTATCTCTTCCAGTCAGCAGAGTTTATAAAACCAAATTTATTAATCACTCGCACCACTGAAAGTGTGTGTTTTTGACTGAGATTCTCCAAAATGAACCCAGTATAAGCATGGACTTCAGAGACTAAAGTCCCTACACAGTAAATCCCAGCTGTGTACTTAGAGCTGGACCACTTCACTCTAACATAAAGATGTCGTATGTGTACAGACTGTAAAGCCCTCTGAGGCCAATTTGTAATTAGTGATTTTGGGCTATACAAAATAAAATGAATTGAATTGAATTAACAGGGACACATGCAACTGAACATATATTATTGATAGCTAGATATCTATCTAGTTATCAACAAGATAATCTGTTGATAGACTGGTTAAGTTTCTCCCCGATTAAAGAAACATATTATCCGTAGAGGCTAACATGCTTTTCAATAACAAACGTTATGGCAGTTGAGATTTACAAGAAATATTTTAACTGCTACTGTGTAAAGGGGGAAGTACCTTAAATGTTTGCACATATAAAAATGCGCAATACACTACTTTTGAATCATTATTCAATTTTGCACATTACAATGCTATTATTGTGAATAATCAGGTTCAATATTTGTTTATCTGGCACTAGTATAAATACATATATAGTGCTGTATCAGTGCTGTGCAGTGAGAATAAGCTTAAATCCCAATTAAAAACCAATCTCATCTAATTTTAGCAGCTAATGTTTTCGTTTTACAGGATCTCTTATGAAACAACACCAGTCAAATAGCATGACTGAAAACAATCACTGATTTGCGTTGATTTGTAAATGGCACAGTGACACCCATGCTGTGGTGCAGTACACAGCAGGGCCCCTTTCAGAAAGCTTTCATATCTAATTCGGGTAGATGGTGAAACAATACTAATGGATATATAATGCATACAAGTAATCTGTGCTTTCCATTCATGTTGGGTAACTATTGAGTCTTTCTATTGTTTAAGATGACTGCTTGTGATAAGCAAACAAAAGACAAGAACTGTTAATCACTCGTACATAAGAACACACCTTGAATGGGTTGAACCTTCTATCGTTTGAGTCCAAATGTGATAAAGCAATGCCAATGTCTTTATTTATCTGTTGCCATGTGTTCCGTCATTGCTCATAATAGTCGTCTATTATTCCCAAATGTCTGAATCACACTTGATAGTTGAGGGTGTTTCCTAGTCGGACCTTGAATAATGCCAAAGCTGTTTCCTGTAAGCTGAAAAGTCTGAAAAGGAAGAACTTCTGATCTTCCTCTTCCCTGGGCTATGGCAGATTAATTCATCTTCTGAAATACAGGACACATGTTTGGGTTTTGAGTTTCAAACAATGGTTATCCCAAACTGTTTTGAAAAGGTTTAGTTCAACCACCTACAAAACAGCACTTCCTTCTGGTGGTGTGGCTCATTGTGGTTTTTGCTTGATGGTGTGTTGTTGACATCAAAAATAAAGGTTGACAATAGGTGTGGTCGGGGTCCCATGGTAAGGGGAATAGAAAGTCCCCCCTTCCATACTTTACACTTGATTCAGCGTCACAGCTGGTATGCGCTCTGTTTTTGATTCAGTTGAATGGAACTAGTTCAGTTGTCATCATTTGACCTCTGTATGAAACTAGCAATAGTTTATAGAGGGGATTTGCTAACCCTAAACATCAGAATCAGTGGAATACCATGACACTGTGGATCAGACAAAGTCAGGCATGGAGTTGCCAACTTTTAAGGATTACTTGCTCAAAGCCCAGAGCCACAGTCTGTTCTGGTAGTAACTGCCTTTGTTTGAATACTATGGATACTTGTATGATGTATTTCACTGTATTTCACTGTATGAACAAAGGACACATCACAAGTAAAGGATCATGTAAAATCGTCATAATAGTCTGGCCGTCATGGTGCACATGGATTCCACATCAGTGAAGGCTGTGGGGTTTAGGTGCTAGTTTGTGCCAGCAAAGTGTGAGGCGGACATCGGTTCGGATGCTCTGTAACCTCGCCCTTCATTTAAATCAGTTATACAAAACGTAGTGGACCAGGGACAATGGAAATAAACTGAACGCAAGCAAAACCATGTCATGAATCACCATATCAAGCTGTGAAATTGCCACTCCCTCACCTGCCAAGTCCTTGCCCTGTGATATAAAGAGCTGGGCCTCCCTTCTAAGTTCCTCAGACATCCCATGGAGGAGCAAATGGCGATGGCTAACGTGTGGCTGCTACGGCTGGCCTTGACCGCCGTTGTAGCTACTTGGCACAGCGGTACATTTACTACATTATTTTTGGCAGCCTAGCGATATGAGACTTTTAACAGTTGAATCTATGTGCTACAGCGTTATTTTGCTTTAATGCAATTTTGTATTTGATTATTGATTACTCAAAAAATAACTTGACTAATAACTTTTACTTCTTTTAACAGAGGCAAAGTCTGCTGTGAATGTGTTCCCCTCCATGTCCCTGATTCCTGAAAAAATAACAGGTGAGCTTGCTTGTTGTTGATCAGTAACTTCAAAATGTGTGAGAATGCATTCATCTTGGTGAAAAGTGTGTGTAATTTGTGTCCGTTCTTGTGCTTTAATTCCCTGACTTTACAGGCGTGAGTCCCATCCACAACGGCCAGGTTTGCAGTACATGGGGCGACTTCCACTTCAAGACCTTTGATGGAGATGTTTTCCAGTTGCACTCTACTTGCAACTACGTCCTGACCTCTTCATGCCGGAGCAGTTATCAAGACTTTAACATTCAGATGAGAAGACAGGATGCTGGCGGCCATCACACCATCAAAAGTATCAGCATGATGCTGGAGGGCACTGTGGTGGAGCTGTCTGAGGGCTCTGTGATTGTTGATGGCAAATCGTAAGTGTTTCCTTAAAACTCTGCCCTTTCTACTCTGGATATTGCATCAAAGTAATGGGACTTACACTTTTATTTTTGCAGCGCGATCCTACCATTCAGCCAAGGAGGGGTGCTCATTGAGAAGACTCCCACCCACATCAAAGTCAAAGCAAAACTGGGATTAGTTGCAATCTGGAATGAGGAGGACTCTTTTCTGGTAGGATTGATGCTCAGTTATTTTTTTAAATTACTGTCAAAGCTTTGAATTAGTGGGACAGAGTGAGGCTGCCTCCTAAACAATTCTTTTTTTTTCCTCACAGGTTGAACTAGACCTGAAGTACAAGAACCAAACATGTGGTCTTTGTGGAGACTTTAACGGGGTTCAGCTCTACAACGAATTCTACAATCATGGTACACTTTGACCCACTTTAACAAAACAGTCAGTTGAGGCCACAAAACTGTAATTTTTCCGATTTTTTTATGGTTCAAACAGGTGTTCAAATATCCCCGGTGGATTTTGCTAAGTTCTGGAAAATGGATGGTCCAACTGAAAGCTGCTCTGACTACACACTGGATTCAACTCAAAGCTGCAACAACATGGTGAGGCTTCACTCAGTTAAATATGGAATGTTCTATACAATACAACATCATTATTACACCACCGGCAGTCCCTGAGGTCTCAGCGGTCGGCGTCAGGGCCGGCTGAATGAATGCTACTGTATTCGGTAGTAAAGTTAAGTTTTCTATTGTTTCAATGCTGCCATGTGCCAAGTGGGTTTCATTTAGCGGCTACATAATAAAATGCAGAATCCCATATTTAAAAGTGCTTGTAAATTTTTTTAATTCAGTAATCCTCACCAAAACCCATCGTATCGGTCATGGTCAAAAAAATCAGTCCTTCTGTATGAAATATTTGTAACGCTGAATTCAATTCAGTATTATTTAAATACTTTTTTAATAATGTTCCGCTTGGTGGGTTATTGCTGCAAAGAGCCGACGAGCCACTGTGTGAATGCTCTGAAGCACAGCAAGAGGTTTAAAGGTGGTCTCGTAGTTCATTGCAATTTTTCTTGTGTGTCAGCAGAAGCGTTAAATAATCCTCAGGCACCACCTGGTCATACATTAGTTTCAGCTAATGCGACATTGATAAGCTGTATAGCCTCCGTTACAAATTTGACGTAAATGATGGAGCTATTTTTCAGATTCTCTCACTTCCTCTCGTCCTGTAGAAACCCCTGTGCGAGCAGATCCTTACGGGGCCGGCCTTCAGCAGCTGCCACGGTCTGCTCGACGTCGCCTCCTTCACCTCTGCCTGTGTTGCAGACCTCTGCCACTGCACCGCTAATGGCCACGCAGATCCCTTCTGCCTGTGCAACACTGTGTCCGAGTTCTCCAGACAGTGCAGCCATGCTGGTGGAAAACCAATGAACTGGAGAACCGAGGAGCTCTGCTGTGAGTAGCCTCATTAAACACTAAATATGGAATATCCCACTCGTAGGATTAGGATTTGAGTAAAGAAAAAAAAAAACTGAAATGTTCACTGGGACCTATTTTCCCATCATTACCGAATTTTGTAAAGTAATAATAATAATTCAACAAAGCTTATTGGAATAGTTGATGAAAGACGTCATGAACCTTGACATAGAGCTTTGGTTAAACTGCTGATCTACGTCTGGCCCCTCCGCCAACAATAAGTCAATTGATCTCATCATCCGCTAAATTAGGAGCCAACTAATGACTGTGTTTGCTGGAGAAATCTGTTGAATTAGTTATGTACAGTCTTGAATTTTATGTTATGTAACACACCCTTACACAGACCAAACAATGAAGTGCGAGTGAGTAATCATAAAGCATGAGGCCCTTTGTTACATATAGTCCACACCTTCTCTCAGCTCAGGTGTACTGTGGTGGGAAAGTGTGGACCGGAAGCAGGCTACAATAGTAAAGTTTGTTAGTGAAGATCTGAGAGCTTAAGTAAACGTGATGTATTCACAGGGAAGTCATGTCCCAATAAAATGGAGTACAAGGAGTGTGGGAGTCCCTGCGCTGATACCTGCTCCAACCCAGAGGCAAGCCACACCTGTGACAACCACTGCACCGATGGGTGCTTCTGCCCCACAGGTACAGCAGAGTGACACACACATGCGCACATGCACACACACACACACACACACACACACACACACAGATGCACAAAGGCTATGTTACAGCAGTGTGTCTCTTTCATCACTTTCAGGCATGGTACTGGATGATGTGAATGGAAAGGGTTGTGTCCCAATGAACGAGTGCTCCTGCAGCTACGACAGCAAGATCTATGGACCTGGAGAGTCCTACTCCAGTAACTGCAAAAAATGGTATGATATAAACTGTGCCTGTATGTTTGTATGTTAAAGCAACGTGATCTCCAAAACCTGTTCGTAAAAATGTATACGAAATATTTGCCATAGAAATTTGTAACAATACATACTAAGCTGGTGGTTAACCACCCCCCTTGAGTGAACGTCTCTCCGCCATGTTGGATTCTTGAGTGAACGTCTCTCCGCCATGTTGGATTTTTTGAGGGGGTTAGGGTTAGTATTGTATTCTTACAATTTAACATGGATTTCTCGTTAAAAATGTAATCATAACACGTTTATTTTACATCGTTAGACTTCACAAAGTGTGTTTACGGGGTGCAGGTCCCCATTCACTTTGAATAGGGTGACGTCATCAGTTGCCAGTCATTTTTACGAACAGGTTTTGGAGATCAGGCTGGTTAAAGAAATTTTACAATTTTATTAGTTTTCAAGAAAAAGCACAGTGAGTTTGTTTTATTCCAGTTTGAGGACAAACCCTAAGATGCAGATAAGTCATGTTTTCAGATATAAAGTAAATGATACTAAAAATTAACATTGTAACACCATCAAGAACACACGCATATTGGTTTCCCCGAATCCCAAACCACTCACTCTCCATCAATGACAGGTGTCATGTGCTCATTAGTAAAACACTGCCAGACAAAGTACTGAATCGACTGTTGCACAACATATTAAGATACATTAAAAAAATAGAAGTATTTGAGTTAAAGGGTCAACACATCCTCGTACCTCAGAGGGTGCATTAAACTTATTTGACTTATGGGTTGGGTTGTGTTACTATTGACTCAACACACACACATAACTCGCTTAACTAATGTTAGCTCTGGAGGTGGACAACAGATGAAAGGGAAATAAGGTTTTCAAACTTCTCTGTATCCCTTCATCTATTCAACTAAACCTCAGACGGAGGTTTATGCCCTTTCATATGAGCAGTCTGCTCAGTATTTTTGCAAACAGCTCACAGGATGCGGTATCCAACAAGTTTTGAGGGAAAGTGTATTACTCATCTAAATACTCGGAGGTGGTACATTAAGGACATCCCTTGACAGATCTACAGATAATACTAAAACCTACATTTAAAATATTCAAAGTGTTTGGGGAGTTTTGATATCACAATTATTTGATCAAGAATGTCTGTATATTTCCAACTTGTGTGTGCTGCCAGCGTGTGTGATGGTGGACAGTGGAGGTGCACGGAGGAGAACTGTCCAGGCATGTGCTCTGTGGAGGGGGGGGCTCACGTCAACACCTTCGACGGAAAGGACTACACCTTCCACGGGGACTGCTCCTACGTCCTGGCTAAGGTAGTTCACTTCATCCTCAGTGCCACTCACACACAAACACACACACTCTCTTATATAAGACAAGACCTCAACCTCAAACCATTAAGCTATTATCAATACAAGGTTGGGATTTATCATCAGCATTAGCATTAACAACAAAATCAAGACAATATACGTCATGATACAAAGCTGTCTGCATCACAGCTGAACACCACTCCAGGAAAATACCAAACAGGAGTAATAAATCCACTGCCATCTGCAGCTTGGTTGTTTCTGTGTTGTATAGTTGTGTGTTTGTGTATTCAGGACTGCCGTGGAGACCAGTTTGTGGTTCAGGGAGAGCTGGTGCAATGTGGACTGACTGAGAGTGAAACCTGCCTCAAGTCTGTCACCTTGGGTCTGTCCGGAGGGGCTCATGTGAGTACGATACACACAGAAAAACCGACTTTGCTTTAATCGGAAAAAGATTGTGGGTGTCCTGATTTGCAGATGATAAGTTAATTGCTGTGTTTTATGAAACATAATAACAATATTACAAAATAAAGTGTCTTTTACGAAAACATCCACAAGGTATACTGCATTATTTGTATTACTTTAGGAAGGTAATTAGTAAAACAGAACCAGAAAAGTTTTGTTCTTCATATCATCTTCATATATTTAAATTCATATGTTTGAATGATGATTTCTTTACATTTCAGTACCTTCAGTACATCCAGTGATCTTGTGATCTTGCCGCTAGACTCTAGCTGCTCTCCAGCTCTCTAGCTGCTAGAGAGCGTATTATAAGGATTCTCATTCCTACTTATGTTTTAATCAAACTTAAAAAAGTGCTTTTACATCGTTGCATGGTAAAGCAGTGCAAGAATCCGAATAATAATACAAAAAATGCAAAAAGGATTTCATGAAGAATAAAATAGACAATATTTTAAATGTAACTGTTTTCAATGAAAAGCTGTAAGCAGGATAGTTAGCTCATTGAACGCACCGCAGTGGTAAGATTTCATTACTAACATCTGGTTTCCTGTCATATGAAGGTGATCACCATCCAACCCAGTGGCAAGGTTTTTGTGAACGGCATCTACGCTCAGCTACCTTTCTCTGCTGGTGAGAGACGCTCCGGTGTCTTGTCCTCTCTCTTTGTCTCATTTGTAGAAAAAGATTATCAAAGTACACAGTACACTGTGACTGAGGAGCTAACGCCATGCTCCGAGTGTTTGTGGATGATGTGCTGCACAGTCAATTCATTTCGTTTCCTTATTCCTCATTTGTCAATAGGCCTAAACTACGGTATCTAAATTCTTCCTTTGTATCGACATCCAAATAAAAATTGTGCATTTTTATACAATACAGAATACAAGCTGCTTTAAACAGCTGTTTCCAGCTTTGTGGCTTACTTCCTGGCAGCAGTCCCTCAGTCTGATGCACATTGCCTGTGGCTGGGGCAGGGAAACAATTGAGGACCAACGTCCCAGTTGCTGCTATAGCAACACCTACTGGAGGGAGAGTTTTAGTGCCAGTGTGTGTGTGGGATGAATTTCCTTGCTGGCTGTCGTCAGTCTCTTATGTCACGTCCAAGGCCATACACAATTAGAAACAGTCATACATGTTATCCCTATGGTTGGAGAAAGTCCAATTTATATTGCAAAAATGAGCACTTTCTTCCGTATCCCAAAACTAGAATGTTGAAAGTCAAATGTTTGCCGTCATCAAGGAGAAAGTCAGAAAGACACTGACAGCTCTCAGCGGAACGATCTGACTATGTGGGACATGCTGTTTCAGGATGCTACAATAGAACAAATGAAAGTTATTTGCCCATGCAGCATCCCCAAACTTTATTCTTTGCTTTCTGGCTTTGATAGAGTAGCTCATGTTCATGTGAATGGAGAGTTCATAATGATCCAACTTACCCAGACGATGGGAAATCATTCATTCATATGGAAAGTAATGACAAAAATGTGAAATTAAGTTATTTTTAAAAATCCTAACATTGTCGTTATAATGCAATCACTAACGTCTCCCTTCATCAGCATAATTTCTTTAATGAACATCCAGTTGCCTTTCCCACCCTATCCTCCCCATCAGTTGGACCATGTTCACTGCAGAGCCAGCATCCTTTGATTGGCCTCCTGGAAAGTCATTTGTTCTGTCTCGTCCCCCCCACTCTTCTAAAAAGATCCCATCCTGTTCTCTTAACCCCCAGCTGGGATCTCCGCCATCGAAGCCTCCTCCTTCTACCTCCTGGTGCAGACGTCTGTTGGTGTTCTGTTGGAGGTGCAGCTCCAGCCAGTCATGCAGCTCCACGTCACAGTGAACAGTGACTACCAGGACAAGACCTGTGGTACGTGCATTACAGTGACGTATGCGTGTTCCCGGACTGGCAGGATCCCTCGGGACTCCAACAGGGATGCTGTTATTGATCTCTACGTGTTGTTGCAAACAGTCAACCAGTGAATACAAGAAAATTGTTTGGTTTTCTACAGTTTTAAAATATATCATTGATGGACCCCATAATTGTAATTATTAAAACAGTTTTCGTGAAAGTTGCAAAAGCCAATTGGTTTACATTTAGACAATAGTTGGGATAGTAGACAGAGTACCTGCCGCAATCCATCCTGTCTGTCACTTAAGTATTTTTGGTCATTATGTATGATATCTGCTTGCAGGTCTCTGTGGGAACTTCAACAGTAACCAAGCTGATGACTTCCTTAAGCTCAGCGGAGTCCCAGATGCCACAGCAACTGGTTTTGTCAACAGCTGGAAGACACATGCTGGTTGCCCTGATGTTAAGCCCTTTTTTGAGAGGCCCTGCAGTCTTAGTCTGGACAATGGTAAGTCTGACTCTTTTCGATTCTCTGTTCTCACTGTGGGTTCTTTGAATCACTGACGTTGGCCTTATTTTGTCAATGACAGAGAAATACGCCCAGCACTGGTGCTCCATGCTGAGTGACCCTGAAGGAGTGTTTGCCCCCTGTCACTCAGAGATCAGCCCTGACTCCTACAAAGAGGTGAGGCTCACCGCTACAGCCATCACGTGTTTCTGTGGATCAGTCTCCAGACCTTGAGACATAATCTGACGCTGCACTGCTTTTTTTTTTATTTTGCCTTATCGCAGAACTGCATGTATGACAGCTGCAACTGTGAGAACAGTGAGGACTGCATGTGTGCTGCCGTCTCCTCCTACGTGCATGCCTGTGCAGCAGCAGGAATCCAGATGAGCGGCTGGAGGGAGACCATTTGTGGTAAGAAACTGTTTCTTTATTGTCGATACTTTTGTCAACATCCAAAAGGGACCTAACGAGGCCTTGTTTTGGATGGTCATGTGATCTCTGATGTGATGAAAACATCCTAACATAACATCCCTTTTGAGTGTTCTGACATACAAGCTCCCTGTATTTGGTATAGCTGTTTACTCGGTTCGATTTGATTGTCACACAGTGATATCACACTAGAGCAGAGGTCACCAACCCCTTTAAAGATCCCTGACCACATAAAAAGGATATGATTTGCTATCCACAATATAAAAAAGAAAAAACACATTTGCAATAAGCAGGTTGGCTGAACTACCGATATTAACTCTTGTATTTATCAACTGAAGTTACAACACTTTCTCAGTCAGTAAAACTAAAGTAAGTGCAGTTCAGCTCTGCGTCCCACCACAAGGCCATCAGAAGTCATGTGATACTGTGACTGAACACTGTCTTTGAGTGGCTTGTAGTTCGGCTCGTAAGCACAGACAGACAGGCTGAAGTAAGCCGGCTCCTGTACTTTGATTTAGTTATTTTCATCTGTGAAAGTTGATCAAAAGTAGGCACTCACTTTAAGTGCACATCTGCTGTGAAGAGGAAACTTGTCTCTGCTGACAAGTCCCCCAAAATCCCTGTCCCTTGAAACCTCATCTGTATCACTAGGCAGGAAGGGGTTTGAAAAGTTGGTGATTACGTCCACATCAACTCTACAGACATCCTCGGATTTAAATAATTAGAATAATAATAAATACGAAAATGTTTGAATCTTTAACAATTACGTTTCACATTACATTACATTACATGTCATTTAGCTGACGCTTTTATCCAAAGCGACGTACAGTAAGTGCATTCAACCATAGGGTACAAACTCAGGAGAACAAGAAACAAGAAAGTGCAATTTCCTCAAATAAGCCAATTTACAATTTGCTATTTCACATTTATAGGCATGATTCTAGGAGACATTGCGATATCCCAAAATAAACAAAATCACTACACAAGCACTGCAAATGTAAGTGAATAAATAAATAAGCACCAAATTTAATTGCGTGAATACGGCCACGGTGGAATAGAATGGACCCCTGTTAGGTTAGTTAGGTCTCAGTTTAATCAGCGGTGATCAGGATCGATGGGTTGACGACCACTGCTTTGGAAGTTTAACTTATAATATAAATGTCACGTTATTTTTCTTACAATACCCTAGTCTTAACTTGGTGCTGTAAATTCTCAAACTAATTTGAATTGATTTGTAACACTACAAACTGAGTGACCTTTGGTCTTTGGGGCTCTTGGAGAACTAAGACCCATGGGCCAATTTGTATCAGCATTAGATTGCCCGACTCCTTAATACGCGGATGTAAATATACGAAAGTGCCATTTACAGTTTGCACGTAGTTCCTTAAATTTCACACCATTGGATTGCATACTATTTTACTGGTTGACCTGTCATCAAATATTTGAAACCCTTTTGCAGAAAACAAAATATTTTGAATGTAAACGAAGGAAAACTGACATTGATAATTCAATATGTATTTGGCATATAAACAAGAAACAAACATATAACAGACACAGTCTCACAGTTTTTCACCCATTCTGTGTTCTGATCTCCTCAGGGAAATATGCCAACTCCTGCCCCAGCAGCATGGTCTACACCTACAGCATCACGTCCAGCAGCCACACTTGCCGCTGCATCAGCAGCTCTGACCTCAGCTGTCACTTCTCCTTCCCGCCAATCGACGGCTGTGTCTGCGCTGAGGGAACCTACCTTGATGACGCTGGCAAGTGTGTCTCACTCCAGGAGTGTCCCTGTTATGACCAAGGCTCCGTGGTGCCTGCCGGACAGGTGGTCACCAAGGACGGGGTCATGTGGTATGTAAAGTGCACATGATATATTGCACGTGTTTTTATTAGTTATCGCAATGATGTGTATGGCATTACGTTTGTCTCAAATGAATATACTATTAGACCTATTTGTTCTTGTTATTTGTGATGAACAGAAAATATGATGTCTGTTTAAACAGCGTGCTGCATGGTTATAGGTATGCATATTAATGCGTTTCTCTTTTTAATTCCTCCACTAGTACCTGTAGGGATGGCAAACTGGGCTGCATTGGGGAGCTGATTACACAACCATGTAAGTAGCGAGTGCTTCATTGCCCTCTAAAGCTCATATGTTACATCTGTTACAACAGATGTGGGATAACCATGTCAAAGTTGTCAGAAGCTAACAATTACCGCCTCAGGTGGTTGAAACCGTAACTGATCACGGGCCAAACAAACCAGAACCACGTGAGCTTTGGAAGCTGTTATCTTCAGCTCAGTAATTGTTAGACACAGAAAAGATGAGTGAAAATACAAATAAACTCCTGAATAATATAAAAGTCAAAAGGGAGACATCAGCACAGGTTAAGAAACTATTACATTTGCTCTACTTTTTGTTAGAAGTGGCTCTCGTTTGCTGTAACATGTAGTGCTCAATGTTTCCTTACCTCAGCACAAAGCAGTGCGTGGGGACATAAATCAAAAGGGAAACGCATTAAACAAATGTGCTCCTTTTAAATTGTAAAAGTGGTTGAAAGACTGCAAAGGCACTTTACAAGTACAGTCCATTCATCATTTACATCATTTGAGGATTTTAGGGGACAAATTTGGAACAAAAACAAATGAGTCCCAGGATTCTTTATTTTACTAGATTCAAGCCCATCCACTCACCTCATGGGTTGGTTCAAGTGTTTCCTACTACAAGAGGGATTTTACCTGTGATTCAAAAAATGTGACTCTTCGTCATTTAAATATGTTACAGAATATTTGTTCTGACACCTTGACACCGTATTTGATTTGGTGTAAAAATGCATCTTGGATGTTGCATTAAATCAGGAGTGGTAAATGGCTCTTACGGTAGTGACCGCAATTCATGTTAGAAAACCAATTATTTCCCATATGTGTTTTCTCAGTGACCTGTGCACCTCCCATGGTGTTCTTCAACTGCTCTGCTAATGGTCCGGCTGCTAAAGGAACAGAGTGTGTGAAGAGCTGCGACACATTAGACATGGCCTGCGTAAGTCTGAAAATACAGATTTATTGTTCATAGCTCGATTCTATATTCAGGTCATTAGATCTTCGAGGTAAAGCAAAATATTTTCCCCATGCGCCTTGCAGAGCCTGCACCGTCTTTACTTCACCCAAGCAGTGGATTATACATTGTATCTATTCTTCAGGTGACCACGGCGTGCATTTCTGGCTGTATGTGTCCATCTGGGATGGTGTCTGATGGTAAAGGAAGCTGCCTCCAGCCAGAGGCCTGTCCATGCCTTCACAACGGTGTTTCCTACCAGCCTGGACAAACCACCATGGTGGACTGCAACACCTGGTAGGTGAATCACAACTATACTAGATACTAGATACTTGAGTTACAACTCCACCTGTGACGGAAATGTACAAATTCAAGGATTCAAAGATCACGTATTGACGTATTATGCGACACAGGGATGCAAAATGCAGTTGTAACCATGTCCATCAACTTGCACTGTGAGCATCATTTATCCTAAATGTAAAACCAGAGTCCGCTTCCTCTCCTCCCACCAGAGTCCTGTGCTGTATCCTGTGGTTTGCCCATCAAGTACTGCTTGATCTCTGTAAAGATGTGGGCTCAGTAGTCACCGTTCTCCTCAAGTCATATTTAATCCATCCTATTTTCCTGCGAACCAACATCTGACTGTCTTGAGTAGTCTGGGTAGTGGAGCAGCATCTGGTGCTATCTGGGTCAGCTTAACTCCTATGTCTGCCCTCCTCCCTCCCCCTCCCTGCGGCACTTCACTGATGTTTGGTCCTGCAGGTCTGGCTAGGTGGTTAGAAGACATGTACTTTATAAGCCTGATATAATGTGTATCCAATTACAGCACTTGTAAAGACATGAAGTGGCAGTGCACTACCAACCAGTGTGATGGAACCTGCTCCGTCTACGGTGCTGGACACTACATGACTTTTGATCAGAAGCGCTTCACCTTTGATGGCAGTTGCGAATACATTCTCACTCAGGTATGAATTCAGACAAGTTTGTGAGTAATCTACGGGAACATTACTCCATTGTTTTCTACTCACACATAGTCCTGCTACGTTCTCGTACACAGCAGTTCTTTGGCCTGTAACAGAGTCAAGTAATATGGATTAATCATTAAATACAAATCAATGTTTTTCGTTAGCTAAATCTAATTAGATGTAGGTATGATTTACACTTTCCACCTCTTTTCTTTTATTTCACGGGATAAAACTGTATTTAAAGTACAGCCCTGCTTCAGTAGTTACTTCTTTCAGGATACCAGCATTCCATATCATAGCTATATCATAGCTATGAAAAAGATGAGAAGCAGCGAGTAAACAATCAGCTATTATATGGATTTGTATACATGTGTGTGTGTGTGTGTGTGTGTGTGTGTGTGTGTGTCTATCTTCTTCAGGACTACTGTGGTAGTGCTCAGAACAATGGAACCTTCAGAGTGCTTACTGAGAATGTTCCATGTGGAACGACAGGAACCACTTGCTCCAAGAACATCAAGATCTTCCTGGGGGTAAACAGTTAATATAACATTTTTTAAAAGAACACATGTGACAAATTAAAACAAAGAGCCGATGTTGACTGAAAGAATGACCAGACATGTCTCTCTTGAAAAAACAGAAATATGAATATGCAGATTCCATCCACTTAATATGTGAGCTGCTTTAAAAAAAGAGCTTCACATTGCCGCCTATAATGTGAACATTAGCTCCAGCGGCCAAGTTTTCTGAGAATGTTGAAATTTGATGTAAACCGTTCAGTGATGTTTCTCTAGAGTGCAGAACTGATTCTAACTGACGGAAGCTACCAGCTGCTTTCAAGTGGCAATGAAGAAACCGTTCCATTCCAATACAGCACTATGGGCATCTACCTGGTTATTGAAGCCAACAATGGACTCATTTTCATGTGGGACAGGAAGACCAGTTTGTTCATCAAGCTCAGCCCAAACTATAAGGTAACCCTCCAATATGTAAAGGAGGTTTGGTGTTTTAAGAGGAATACCATTTATTTGTTCACAAAGATGATTTTTAAATTGACCAACATGACATAAGCAACTCTTCTTTTCAGGGTCGTGTATGTGGACTGTGTGGCAACTATGACAACAATGCAAATAATGACTTCACCACAAGATCCAATAATGTTGTTGTCAGCTCGCTGGTGTTTGGAAACAGCTGGAAGAATCTGCCAAGCTGCCCCGATGCTCAGAGCATCACCAGCCCCTGTACAGCCAACCCATACAGACAGGCCTGGGCCCAGAAAGAGTGCAGCGTTATACAAAGTGACGTCTTCTCTGCCTGCCACTCCATTGTAGGTTTTTATTACATAGAGACAGAGACAGGGTTAGACTTTTTGCTCTCCATCTTAAGGTCACATAACAAAATAGGAAAATTAAAAAAAGTATCAACAGTTAAAGTGCATATTGCACATTTACAGTGTTAAATTATTATATATTACTTTATTATTAAAACATTATTTTCAACGCAGAAGCATTTTGGCTGCATTGTGATGTTAGTTAGTTAAAGTAAAGTTTTGTAAATAGATTTCATATTATATTCCATAACATGTGGGTTTGGAAAGTAATCAGTTACTGCGGATTTTAGACAAATGGAACCGTGTTTAACTTGATAAGAATCATCATGCTCTTCCTTCTAGGTGGATCCTGCTCCCTTTTTTGAGGCCTGTGTGTTTGACTCATGTGCTTGTAACACGGGTGGAGACTGGGAGTGTTTAAAACACTGCTGTGGCTGCTTATGCTGAATCCTGTAACCAAGCTAACCATCTGTATACCATGGAGAACCCCGAAGATCTGTCGTGAGTAACCAAGATGAAATATTTCATTTTTAAAATCGACAAGAACACACACATAAAGTATATCTGAATTTACTTTTAAGCCAAAGGGAGAAAAAAGTAAATAAATCTCTTGTTAACTTGATATCATGAACGTATCCATTTTAGCCATTTGTTATCAGTTATATGCATGTTTTCCCCCTAGCCTTTAGAGTTCAATGTTTAATGCTGCTATCCCATTCGGAGATCCGGCTTCCCAGATCTGAGAAGTGCAATTAAACCAATATAGGAGTGAAAAAGGTTATTTTTTAAACTGAAAAATACAACCCATTTATCATTCAATTACCTCAAATTTACAAGGTGTCAGACTTTTAGAAATCACAGCCAAAACAGAAGCTGTGATAGTCCTCCCCACTATCCTTCTACCCCCTTTCCTACTTGACCAACTAAAATAAAAGTGTGTTTTTTGGTCCAGACAGAAAGAACGGCATCCGGGTCCGCCTATTAGTTACCACCATAAATATTTACAGTAATTGGTCGCTTACAGTCTCTAGACATCATGAAGGTCATCCACACTTTGTAGTAGGAAGCTGAATATAAGTACCAGCATAGGCCTAAAGTCTTTAGAATGCTCTTTAAATAGTCCTGTCTGGAATGTGCCTTTACTAAGTAGTATTATCTTTTCCAGCTCTTTTCTGTGATTACTACAATCCCCCGGGTGAATGTGAATGGCACTACATGCCATGTGGATCTTGTCAAAAAACCTGCAGGAGTCCCTCAGGCAGCTGCTCTGCACAGATACCTCCATTAGAAGGTATGTCACAAGATGAAGTCTTCATAACTTTTCATCATTTCAATTAAATTAAACATTGGCTGTATTTGTGAAAGATATGTTTAAAAAGTTGCTCAGACAAAAACACATTCAAAAGGTGGTAGCCGTAGTTTGGCATTAAGGAACAAGTGAACATTTGTTTGTTTTTTGAATTAGGTTGCTATCCAAAATGTCCTCCTACACAACCATACTTTGATGAGGATACAATGACATGTGTTTTGAGCGAAAAATGCGGCTGCTACGACAAAGAGGGAAGACACTATAATGATGGTGACAAAGTGCCAACAACTGAAAACTGTAAAACATGGTATGTATTACATATATGTACCAAAGAAGGTTACACAATTTTGTGTAAAGTGAAATGCAATAGCAATGCAATCAATTCAAAACCGACATTTTATATTTTCTTTCTTTAAGTGTATGCAGTTCAATGACCATCCAATGCCATTACGATGACCAAGGTAAGGCTGGAAGAGATTCTTGGTTGTAAAAATACTAACTTTTTTTTTAATGGCTAATCATATTAATATTACATTTCCTCTCTTTAAAGCATGCACTTGCACCTATCTGGGAAACAAATATCCGCCTGGCCATACCATCTATAACACAACAGATGGACATGGTAACTGCATCACAGCAGTGTGTGGAATGAATGGCACCTTGGATAAGAGATCATATCCATGCCCTACAACACATATGCCCATTTCAACCACTACTGCAACCACCTTTGTTTTTAAGACAACCACATCAGGTAGGAAAAAATATTCATTTTTGGAAACTTAAGAAATATTTAGCTTTAAGCCATAAGCTTGACCAGATAACTAACATTTATATTGTATGTCTCAACAGAGCCTTCCCCAGTTACATGTAATCCCTGTCAATGGTCACCATGGTATGATACTACCTTCCCTACACTGGGAACTTCAGGAGGAGACAGTGAAACCTACGAAAAGCTAAGAGAAGCAGGGCATAAGATCTGTGCAAAGCCAAGCCAAATCCAATGCAGAGCTGAGAAATTCCCTAATGTCACAATTGACAATGTCGGACAAGTGGTGCAATGTGATCTAGCTGAGGGGCTGACATGCAGGAATGAAGACCAGTCAGGACCACTGGCCTTGTGCTTTAACTACCATGTCAGAGTTCAGTGTTGTGACAATAGTGCATGCCATACAACGCCCATGCCTCATACAGCACCTCAAATTTTAACACATACAACAACTGAAACGTTTACAACACCTTGCCAGGAAGAATTATGCACTTGGACACCATGGATAACTTCAGATTACCCTGAAGAGGGTTTTGGAGGAGGAGACAACGATACCATCCAACATGCCATCGAGAAAGGATTTAAAATCTGTGAGAATCCTGTGGCAGTGGAATGTAGGGCTAAACACTACCCCCTTAAACCATTATCAGAACTGGGACAGACAGTTACCTGTAATAAGCAAGGACTTCTTTGTAGGAACATTTTACAAACTCCTCCGATATGTCTTGATTATGAAATTAGGGCAGAATGTTGCAAGACAGTGCAGTGCAGCACAACACCAAAACCTACGATTACAACAACAACATCACCTTCAACTACGCCAACCACCACAACTCCTACCACAACTAAAACAACAACAATAACTACGCCTCCCACAACTACGCCAAGCACCACAACTCCTACCACAACTAAAACAACAACCAAAACTACGCCTCCCACAACTACGCCAACCACCACAACTACAACCCCGGTGCCTAGAACTACACCTTGCCCTGGGGGACATGATATGTCATGTGGTTGGTCACAATGGATTAATGTTGGCAAGCCGACACAGGGCCCTAATGGTGGGTATAATAAATCCATCCAGGACATAGTCTCTTCTGATCATTCTGTATGCTCAGATCCCGAAGAAGTCCAGTGCAGAGCTGTTCTTTATCCACTACAGTCAATGTCGCAGGTGGGTCAAAATGTGGCTTGCAAAAAAGATGTTGGTCTCCTATGCATCAACAATCAACAAGGGCTTCAACTAAAGTGTTTAGAGTATGAAATTCAATTTAAATGCTGTGGATGTCCAACGCCATCAACTCCTTCCACAACTACGCCAACCACCACAACTCCTACCACAACTAAAACGACAACCACAACTACGCCTCCCACAACTACGCCAACCACCACAACTCCTACCACAACTAAAACAACAACCACAACTCCGCCTCAAACAACTACGACCCAGGCGCCGAGAACTACACCTTGCCCTGGGGGACATGATATGACATGTGGTTGGTCACAATGGATTGAGGTTGGCAAGTCTACACAGGGCCCTACTGGCGGGTATCATATATCCATCCAGGACATAGTCTCTTCTGGGTTGTCTGTATGCTCCGATCCCAAAGAAGTCCAGTGTAGAGCTGTTACTTTTCCACTAGTGCCCATGGCGCAGCTGGGTCAAAATGTGACCTGCAATAAAGAAGATGGTCTCATATGCATCAACAATCAACAAGGGCCTGATCAAAGATGTTTTGATTATGAAATTCAATTTAATTGCTGTGGATGTCCAACTCCATCAACTCCTTCCACAACTACGCCAACCACCACAACTCCTACCACAACTAAAACAACAACCACAACTACGCCTCCCACAACTACGCCAACCACCACAACTCCTACCACAACTAAAACAACAACCCCAACTCCGCCTCAAACAACTACGACCCAGGCGCCGAGAACTACACCTTGCCCTGGGGGACATGATATGACATGTGGTTGGTCACAATGGATTAATGTTGGCAAGTCGACACAGGGCCCTAATGGTGGGTATCATATATCCATCCAGGACATAGTCTCTTCTGATCATTCTGTATGCTCCGATCCCGAAGAAGTCCAGTGCAGAGCTGTTCTTTATCCACTACAGTCAATGTCGCAGGTGGGTCAAAATGTGGCTTGCAAAAAAGATGTTGGTCTCCTGTGCATCAACAATCAACAAGGGCTTCAACTAAAGTGTTTAGAGTATGAAATTCAATTTAAATGCTGTGGATGTCCAACGCCATCAACTCCTTCCACAACTACGCCAACCACCACAACTCCTACCACAACTAAAACGACAACCACAACTACGCCTCCCACAACTACGCCAACCACCACAACTCCTACCACAACTAAAACAACAACCCCAACTCCGCCTCAAACAACTACGACCCAGGCGCCGAGAACTACACCTTGCCCTGGGGGACATGATATGACATGTGGTTGGTCACAATGGATTGAGGTTGGCAAGTCTACACAGGGCCCTACTGGCGGGTATCATATATCCATCCAGGACATAGTCTTTTCTGGATTTTCTGTATGCTCCGATCCCAAAGAAGTCCAGTGTAGAGCTGTTACTTTTCCACTAGTGCCCATGGCGCAGCTGGGTCAAAATGTGACCTGCAATAAAGAAGATGGTCTCATATGCATCAACAATCAACAAGGGCCTGATCAAAGATGTTTTGATTATGAAATTCAATTTAATTGCTGTGGATGTCCAACTCCATCAACTCCTTCCACAACTACGCCAACCACCACAACTCCTACCACAACTAAAACGACAACCACAACTACGCCTCCCACAACTACGCCAACCACCACAACTCCTACCACAACTAAAACAACAACCCCAACTCCGCCTCAAACAACTACGACCCAGGCGCCGAGAACTACACCTTGCCCTGGGGGACATGATATGACATGTGGTTGGTCACAATGGATTGAGGTTGGCAAGTCTACACAGGGCCCTACTGGCGGGTATCATATATCCATCCAGGACATAGTCTTTTCTGGGTTTTCTGTATGCTCCGATCCCAAAGAAGTCCAGTGTAGAGCTGTTACTTTTCCACTAGTGCCCATGGCGCAGCTGGGTCAAAATGTGACCTGCAATAAAGAAGATGGTCTCATATGCATCAACAATCAACAAGGGCCTGATCAAAGATGTTTTGATTATGAAATTCAATTTAATTGCTGTGGATGTCCAACTCCATCACCTCCTTCCACTACTACGCCATCCACCACAACTCCTACCACAACTAAAACAACAACCACAACTCCGCCTCCCACAACTACGCCAACCACCACAACTACAACCCAGGCGCCGAGAACTACACCTTGCCAGGAAGAATTATGCACTTGGACACCATGGATAACTTC